TTTTTTTTTGAAAAAGTTTAATAAAAAATGAAAATGAGAAAAAAAGAAAACAAGAATGATCACTACAATAATTTCCGCTTCGTTTTTACAGTATCATATTGATCAAGTAGAATGTAGACAAAAGAATAAATGCATTTTGTGCAATTTGTTAAATTATTTAATTTATTCATTTTAAATGCAAAATGAAATCTCTGAAATTTCATTGAATTTAATTTTAATTTTTTCTACACAGGAAATTTAAATTCCTAATGAATTTATTTTAGAGATAAAATTTTGGCACGTTTAATTTTTTTTTTTTTTAATAATGAAATCGATCTGCTGGTATATTCATTAAACTGTACGATATAGTATTTGGAAATTATCAATTCCTTTAATTTCATATCACGCTGCTGAAATTTTTTTTTTTTTTGAAAATTTGTAAACATCAATCTTATAAATTAGTATTCATATAAAAATTAATAAAATCGAACAAAACAAAATCATATGTTATATCAATATTAATACAACTATAATAGATAATTATTTTTAATATGAAATTTTTTATTCATTTAAAATTTTAAAATCTTTTATCACGACTATAGCGCGGTGGTTGTGCCTGATAGGCAGGTGCAGGTGTCGAATAATACATCATTGGTTGTGGAGTGGAAGATGGAGAAGCTGAAACAACAACACCGGTAGTCTGCCGTAAATTACCATCGATTAAATATTGCTTCCAATTCGAACGTAATTCAATTGCCGAATCTCGTCCCTGTGTTAAAGTATGCTTTTATTGATTGATTACATCGTTTCAATTTTAGTTTCTTAGTAATTTTCACGTTACTTAAATATTTGCTCAAAAATCATTTAATTAAAATTATTTTAACTGGAAGATTGCTGTAAAAAAAATAAATGAAAATAATTGAAAACTGAATTTAAGATAGAATAATTTAAAAGTTAAATTAACCGATGATCGCTCATCACGTAAAATATATCGTGAGGTAGATGAATTAGACTGTCTCCTTTCCGGTTTTCTTCCTTCATAACGTCGTGATTGCATTGGTGAATGTGAATCTGGTAAATTTGATGACTGAAATTTTTATCAAAATTTAAATTTTAATTTTAATTAAAAGAAAAATTGTTTTTTTTTATGACGAATAAAAGAGAAAATTATTTTAGTTACATTTTAATTGAGAGGAAAATTATTTTATGATGAATAAAACGAGAAGATTTTATGAAAATTGCTAAATCTCGTTATTATGAAAATAATTGAATACTGTAAATAATAATTGAATACTAAATTACCAATGATGGTGGTTCCTCATAGATTGATTCATCATTTGGTGAATGATCATCGATGGTTAATCGTCGCCGTTCACGTCGTGGTGTTTGCCGATTAGATTGAGTTACTCGTGGTGATGATGGTAAACTGAGAGATTGCTGTGAGGGGAAAAAAAAATTAATAAATAAAAAAATTAAAAATTAAATTTAACACCTAGCAAGGCAATCTTTACCAGAATATTTCGTTTAAAATAGAAAAAAAAAGAATTTGAATATCTCACTTTTTAAAGTTACGACATCGATTATAAATTTACTCCTATTATATTTCAGATCATTTAACTTAAATCCATTCTGCTCATATCATAATTTGTATAGCGGATATTTCTGATCAACAATAAACCTTCGAAAGTTTATTTAATAATGATATCAGTAATTAATTTATTTCACTTAAAACTATTCTATAAATGTAATAGTTTATTGAATAAAGTTATGAAAGGAGAAAAAAAAAAAGTTAACCTCGCTATTTTCACGACGTCGACTTTTAGCTGATCGATAATTTTCAATACTAACAATTGGATTCGGTTGATAAGGAAGTATATCGGGAACCAAGGCTGGAGCAACTGTTGCAGTTACTGGTAAATAACCCGTTGCTTTTGGTGGTAGCAACATACCACGGGTAGTTGGTGGTACCGTTAGTGCATAGGAATATTGCCTTGAAAAAAATATAAATTAAGCAATTTCAAAAGTTAAAACTTTTTTGTTAAATTTTTCAGCAAGTTAAACAAAACATAATTCAAAAATTAAGCAAAACATAAATTGCTAAATTTGTTTAATTTTTGAAATTTAGCTAATTTCAAAAGTTAAAAAAAAGTTAAACAATTCTTAACAAAA